AACAAAAAAGTAAAAATCATTTATTTTCATACATATATGAGATGTATTAATAAATCTACTAAAAGTCGATGATTAAATGTATTGGTAGGAATGCGTGTGATCTGTAGTCTCGGTCAGAACGTTTAGAACAGACATAAACATTCTTAAGATTCGCTTGTATTTGAAGTATTGAAACGGAGGTCAAGGCTTTAGTTTACTTTAAACGCTCGTCCTGTTGACACGTAAGTAATTTATCGTCTTCGAATATACGAACAGTTAAGAAATCATTTAATAAATTAAATACATTTTTTGACAAATCAAATTAACACATACGTTCAATAATACGTTAACCTCTTGCACGTACCAAACACACACACATTTAATAATATCTATAAATGCATCATACACATATACACATTTAATAATATTTTGATATACATCATACACACACATATGCATACCTTTAATATTATCACTAAATACATCCTGTACATGTACATACGTACATAAATTAATGTATATGAAATATATTAAGAGAAAAAATCAGTAAATTTTGAAAATTAAAAAAATAAACAAACACTCCATAAAATTTATTTGTACTTGAAACAACGGGATGAGAGATGTTTCAGTTTAGTTTTAATACTTATTTTATTAACATGTATATAATTTACGGAACTGTTTAATAAGATTGGTATACATATTTTACAAATTTATAAATTAATTTACCACACATATATATATATATATACATATTTAAAATGCGATTATTGTTCCTTTTTATAATTTTTATTTCCAAATTCGATGAATTCCAATTTTCGAAGGTAAAAAAAGGAGTATGAATCTTATTTTCGTAATATAGAACTGTTGTAACTTAGAATCGTTTAGAAGTTAGAACGACATAGTTGAAAGTAAGGAATAGAGTGAGAGAGGATGCGTTGCGAAAGGACACAGCCGCAGCGGCGAATTCGTGAACATCAAACGAATTAAATCTCCGCCGAGAGTCGACCGCAGAAACTAATATCTCGTCTCGAAAACCGTTCTCCGTTCTTCTTCCGTTCGTTCGCCGACTCCTTCTTCTTCTTCTTCTTCTTCTTCTTCTTCATCGTCGTCGATTTTCGACGTCGTCCTTCTGCTGATTTTTACTGGTGCCGAAGGACGAGAATTCTTTCCGATCCTTATCGATATTTTGTTCACTCGGCTACTGTGATACACACACACACACATCTTTCTTTCTTTCACACCATCTTTTAAATTAAGTTAATTTACGGTATTTTTTTTTCTTCCCCTTTCCAATCGTTTCTCAATTTATTTATTGTACAATATTTATCTAATTTAATAATCTTATATATTCTGGATTATTGGTCTATAAATAATATTAGGAATTTTTTTAAATAGAAATATTACCAGTTTTGATTTGGATTTGTAATATTAAAAATTCATAAAACAAAAATAAATATATATATTGGTGCCGTATATAATTTTATTTACTTATAAGAAATATTTTAAATTTAGAATAAATAATATATGTATATCAATGTATAATTTATTATTATATATTAATTATGACAAATTCCGAGATAATTATAGATCCAATATAAATTAATTGCAAATAAAAATATATTAATTCGTTAATCGTTGACTAAGTGAAATATATATATTTTCTACGAATATTATAATTATTATAAATGATAAATAATTTTATTATCGTATATAAAATGGGGATTGCAATAGTAATCTATTTTTAAATTTGTTAACTCGTGTTATGGCAGACGGGGAGACATAGAGGAATTTCAGTATCTGTCTGCTGTCGTTAAAAGAGAAAAAGTAACAAACAAAAATAAGAACAAAACAAAATAGAAAAACCAAATGATCGCTCGGCTTTCAAATTTTTTTACGTGTCTTTGCGGTCGAAAGGAAGGTTCGACTGTTGCTATAACTGCGCGAAAACCACCGTGCACCATCGACTTCCTTCGTCACAGTATTCTTTCGAGTGGGGTCCTTCCTCATCGTATTTGTCCTTCCATTTCGTTGAAATACAATTTTCGAAAAGGCCACGTGAGGGACTTCGAAATTTGAAGTACGAAATTGGCAGTCTATATTGGAAACAAATTTGTTATCTTACTTGAAACAAACAACAAGATTTCGAATACTAAATTAAAAGATTTTAATACTTAACTACGAATCAACAATCTGTGTATATTAATTTATACAGTAACTGATTCTTAACAATTTGTGGTATTCACTTCGATAATAAATAAAATAATAATTGTTAATTATATATACTTGTTGTGAAATCAATAGAAGAAAGCAATAATATTTAACGCAAGATGTTAATTCAAAAATAATTAATTACTCAACTTGTCATGACTCATTTACAATCAAATTTTATCTATTCTACTTATATTTTTTAACTGCTAAATAAAAGAGAGAATTTTAATATCGACAGTTTATTTATACAATAATTTATACGGTAATTGGTTTTTCTCAAAATTTGATACTCACTTAAAATATAAATAAATTCATTTATAATTATCGTAAAATCACAAATGAAAATTAATAATATATAAACGCAGTATATGAATTAAAAAAAAAAAATAATAAATAAATTAAATAACTTGACCTCTCTCATATCACCTTCATTATAAAATTATTCTATTCAACTCGTGTGTGTATACTTAAAAAAAACCATTTTATCTCTTCGCAAATCTTCGAGGGAAGTTATTCGGATTAAGAATATAATATCGAGAAGAGATCGTTAAAGATCTCCAATACGAGAGCCACTACAACCTACGGGCTAATGTAACTGACATGAGAGAAGAATTTCCTTCGAGAGAAGATACATTCATTTCACACTAGTCGAGAAAGTTAGGTTATGGTAGTCATTTTCATCAAACATGGTCGAACAACGTGAACGTTTTACTAATATGAAACAAAACGTACAGATAGAAAATATAAAAACAGAGAGATAGAGAAAGAGTGTGTGTGTTAGAAAGAGAGAGAGATAGAAAATCGATGGAGTCTCTTTATTCAAGCAAAATGATTTTTTCGAGGGACTGTACGAGTCTGGTTGCGCAGGTGTGACCGATGGCGGCGGCCTTTGATCCTGGAGCGACTCCTCGGCTACTTTGTCCACGACTCATCGCGTTCGTCCGCCCTTCTACTATCTTTCTCTTTCTCTGTTTCTTCTCTCTTTTTCGTCATTCGCTTCGATTACTTCTCCTAGCGGGCAACGCCTTTCGCGAATACGGGGCCGTGTTGCGTTCCTCTTTCTTCATTTTTTTTTAACATCCATCCATCCATCCATTTTTTTCGAGTCATTCTCCTTCGACGCGGAAAATATCATTGTCATTTCCAACGAGAGTAACTCTCTCTCTCTCTCTCTCTCTTTCTCTCACTTTCTAGGTCTTTCGAAATAACCTAAGGTGTGATTTAAATACTTATCTGATTTATATTAAGTATCGAGTTATCTCGCAGATTATGCGTTCTCTTTTATGTTATTTTTTCTTTTTAATAATAGTTGTATATACGGGGAAAATAATTCTATGGTTTTGTTAGAAAATTTTACGGGAGATTGAGAGAGAGAGATCATTTTTATGAATAATTTTTGTCTAAGTATTTATGCACGGAAATATTGTTGTTTGATAATTGCACGTAACGTTGTATAATATCATCGTGATAAATGATATGAATTTTGTTAAAATAATTATGTTTTGAGATGATTTATTGGTAAAACGATTCTGTGTTTTGTTTAGACAATTTTAATAGTCATTTATGATCCGAGTATAATTCTTTTATTTTGTTAGAAATTTTTTAGGTAATTCGTGTAGGGGGAACGATTGCGTAATTTGATCAGAGATTTTAACGAGTGATAAAGAAAGATCGTTTATATGAATAATTTTGATAGAGAATTTTCTTATGGAAATATTTCTTTTATTTATAATTACAGAATATAATACAGTTGTGATAAATAATTTTGTTCAGATATAATATTTTTAGTTATAATTAATTAATATATATCATTTATACGAAGAACAACTTTCATATAGAAACTCGTATCCGGAAACATTTCGTTTAGTAATTACAGAACGTTATGTATGTGTTAATAGATGTTTAAAAGTAACATTGCAGAATAATAACCCATAACGTTCGTTATTTCTTATTGAATAATAAAAACTAAACAATAATTGACTATGATTTTTTCAACTGATAACTGTGGTCAATAAAAAGCACTCTGACAAAAAGCATTACGTTCTGTACTTAATTAATGAAATGTTTCCGGAAATATCGTAGTTTAACATATGAAAGTTATTTAAAATAATCTCGTAAATCAATTATATAAATTTCTAACGAAACTATTGAACGAAAGAGTACACTGCAATGGATTCAATTTTTTGATAACGTATTCGTATAGTATTTTTTGTTTTTTATTTTGTTTCAAATAGATAATTTTGTTAAGCGTTGAAAACATTTCTTTTCTACAAAGAGAAAAAAAGAATTTCACCTTCTTCTTCGAAGTTCGTTTTCGTTCACCTCTATCTCTATCTCTCTCACCGAATTCCAAGAGGATAGAACACCGGAACGAATGCGTAATACGATTTTTATGGAGAAGTAGCTTGACATGTCTTAAAAATGCATCTGATTTGTGACTCGTAGGTTAAAAATAATTTTAAAAGGGAACAGATCTAGAGAAATAGAAATAGAAATAGTAATTCTATCGTTTTATCTAAGCTTACACCTACATATTTTTATAAAATAGAAATAACTTTTGATATTTATCGAGTTACTATCAATTAAAAATTTATGTTCAGTATTTTAAACAAAAACAAATTCTTTTACAAAATATTCAAAAATACTTACTACATAAATAACTTGAATATAAACTGAACATATTCTAACACACATTTTTATATATATTTTTTCAAGGAAAAATATTTCAAATAAATAAAAATATAGTTCGAAAATTATTGGATCGTGTTGAAAATTTCAATCGCATTAATTTATTGTTTCCTTTTCTGTTACAGAACAAGCGAATCACTTGAACCTGTTCAACAATCGTCAGCAACCGAAGAAAAAACGTAAAAGTCGGACAGCGTTTACGAATCAACAAATCTACGAGTTAGAAAAACGTTTTCTTTATCAGAAATATTTGAGTCCAGCTGATAGGGACGACATAGCACTTAAATTGGGTCTGAGTAATGCCCAAGTGATCACGTGGTTCCAAAACAGAAGGGCGAAGCTTAAGAGGGACATGGAGGAGTTGAAAAAGGACGTGCAAACGGTGAATCCTCTGTTGGTTGCTCAACATCATAAAACTTTTCTGGAGAACGTGCAAGATCTTGGAATATTGAAGAAACGGCCGCTACCAAGTTCGATGGAAGAAAAATCGTAGAAGAAGAAATATAAAAACATATTTCCATTCGTTATTTTTCATTAAAACAATCGCGAATAAAAGAAAATGAATTTTTTCTTTGATTTATTCGCGAAAAGTAAATAGTATGAAAATCAAAGCCAACTGCGGGAGATGGTCGTTCTTTTAACGAAATTATTTCGAGAACGTGAAAGAAACTATAGTGAACTTCGATATATTAATAATAGACATTTCTTCGATATTATTATCGATTTCCCGAGTAATCTTTTTAAATATTTTCTTCTCTCTTTTTTTTTTTTTTTTTTTCTTATCATCGTCATTATATTATGTGTCGAAGTAGGATTATTTAAAAGAGGGCTTCTCAAAATTGTTCCACTTGGTGATCATCTTAAACCTGACAAGTATTTCTTAACCCTGAATATAAATTTAATACTATCATTTCTTTTCCTATCATAAATTCACAGATATATTATACGCGTAGCGTTGCTATACTCGTTTCTAATAAATTTTCCATTTTTTCCTTATCTAGGATTTGTTTAGTTTTGTTTAAATTTCTACGACCCCATTCTATCAGATCGTCAGGGTCGTGATTCATACTTTGAGAAGCCCTAATTTAGAATTATGAGTGTATATGGTCACGTGAATAGATATTTAAAATTATTCGGAGACTCTAAATAAGAAAATAAACGCTAAAGTATTTAATTAGGTATACAATTATTATATTTATTTGTATAAAATTGGTGATTATTTAGTTGAACTTTGGAAAAGTTATTATCTTATTCTATACATTCGTAAATATATTTAATACCTACTGGTTCGCATAAGGGAAGAAGAAGAAGAAGAAGAAGAAGAAGATTAGATATTAGAAAGAATATTAAAACAAACTTGGGAAATTCAGTATTAATAATAAAGTCTCGAATGTAATTACGTTAACGTCACATGTGTAAGTGGAAAGAATGAAATACACCGTGTGGAATTTTATTTTCATTCTGATCAATGTTCGTAAATGACAACTCGATGAAAAATATTTCGGCATCGATAACATGAATTGTATAATACTGTATTTATTAAAAAAGAAAGAGAGAGAGAAAGAGAGAGTGTGAGAGTGAGAGTGAGAGAGAGAGAGAGAAAATGTAGAAAGAATCTCCGAAATGAATGATTCGATTAATGACACCGATAATAAATTATTATAATTATTAAATATCGAGAACCTAAATTATAAACTAGATCAACTTTTAGTTGAATCGAACGTGTATATAAACTTTGTATATAATATATAAATATATATAGGTATATACATATATACATATAAATATATTATAAAATAAATAAACACGTGTAGAGAGAAAAGAGAGAGAGAGAGAGAAAGAAATTACACACATACACACAGATACACACAGCCCTATACAAAATACACACGCAAACAGCAACACATTGTTTCCTCAATGATTTTACGTATTAGACGAAATAAACTCGTTAATATCGTACGTGATTAGAATAAAAAAGAAAAGAAAACAAAAAAAAAGAAACTATTAAACAGATAGATGGGACACTGCAATATATACCTAATTATTGTTTTTAATTAGGGGAAAATAAAAACCTTGACGATATCGTTAAAGACGTTACTTCGTATTTGCGATCGGGGAAAATAAAAAGCGTTCGTGATTTTAATAATAATTTTAATGCACGACGAACGAATGAGTGAGAAATAAAATAAATAAAAAAGGAAATGAGAGCGAGAGAGAGAGAGAGAGAGAGAAAGGAAAAGAATGAAAGAGAGAGAAAGAGAGAAAAAAAAAATAAAATAAAATGAATCAATAATACGCGCGAGTTAACGTTCTTAATTACAGTGTATAGTAGAATCTAAATAAATGGAAACATCAATTAAAAGAAAAAAAAAAATATAATAATTTGAATCCTGGATTTATATATGAACAAAAAAAACCAAATATTCTTTTTTATCTTCGACTCTCGATTATACGTCAAATAAATCTATTCCTATGTCTGTTAGGTTGAAAAGTTTTCAAGCTGGATCAAAATTTTGAAACGATTTAAAAGATGTTTTGTCAAATATAATTTTTTAGATATTGCCACAAAAAGCTGGGAATAATTTTGGTTAACTTAAGATCAAATTTAATTATTAAAATGCAATGTTTATTTTCGTTTGAAATAAATATATATATATACAAATATAAAGGATGGGCTAAAAATGGTTAAAAAAAAGTTACACAAAATTTTGTTTAATAAATTTTCTTCAAATTTTAGAACTAATAATTCAATTACTTTTGATCTATCTAGGATCATATAATATATCTACTTAACATTTAAAAAAAAGTATAATAGTATACAATTAAATAAAATGTTTATTTAATTTAAAAAAGAGTCAACTAAACCCGACCGAAGAAATTTTCACGAGTTTAAGAAGCAAGCAAGTAAGTAAGTAAGTAAAGTAAGAAAGAAAAGGAAGGAAAGAAGGAAGGAAGGAAGGAAGGAAGGAAGTTGGTTAGGTTTTAGATGGTGGGTACCAGTAAAGAAGGCAAAAGATGAAAAGGAATTATTCTCCAAAAATAGCGTGAACCTCCTAACATCCTTCTCGGAATCTTTTTGAAGGCAGTTCGCGAGGTTTACCCGCGGGCGTAATTTATTAAGATGAAGTCATTTCGCTTTACCAACGTTGGATCGGTTCGTCCGAAGTCTGGCATCCGTCATAACCGAACATTCATCCATTCCTTTTCGATAGAACAGAAAATTTTCTTCCCTTTAAACTACGCAAAACGATTTTAAAATCACGCGAAGTATAATATATATTTTCAGAATTATATTATTAATAATATTTTAATAATTAGAACAAAAAAAAGTAACGCATATATAGATATCGTCTAGTGAAAAACCGATATCACCTTTTTTCTTTTATTATTACCACTAGGATAAATATTTTTTTCTCTGCCTGTGCATGAATACTCGATCATAATGCAAGATACACGCTAGTAGATAACACTAAGCACGAATATAAATATAGGTAATAGGTATATAAGTATAACTTACATACGTTTCCTCTTACATAAAGAAAAAGAGAATATTATTTAAATGTATACAGAAACGTAGCTAACTTGTATTAAACTAAACCTACTTAACAAATATATATATATATATATATATGAACGTTAATGAGTCTGTCATTAAGTTGTCGCTATTATCTTGACACTAAGAATACTTAAGTAACTATATTTTCTAACATAGTAGCGACCTAGTTAATCGGTAAACAATTTTAATTCATTTAGAATCAAATACAAGTTACATATTTAATTAGAAAATTTGTGTGCGTCTAAGTATAAAACGATCTAATAGTCTTATTAATTTTCGTCTTTTGTTCGAGAATTTTGAAAAGACTCGATGTGTATCAAGTTTGGAAGGTAAATCGATCGATCGATCGATCGATCGAATGCAGAAGAAGAAGAAAGAAAGAAAGAAAAAAAAAAGTAACAGGAGAGAAGTGGAGGAACAAAAGAGAGAGAAGGAAAGAGCTTATTGCTTGGGCTGTTATCGAGAAGGGTCTCGTCGTATGAAGCGTATGAAGCGGTAAGCAAGGTAGCTCGGACCGCCCTGTAATTCGAGCGGCACAACGTCCAAATAAAGAATTCATAATGGCGATGATGAGCACCGGCAATTTTCTTCGATACATCGAAGATACATTGGTAACTCCCGAGAACCTTGCCGATCCAACCCATCTCTCCTTCTCTCTCTCTCTCTCTTTCTCTTCTGATTTCTGTCTCTTTCTTACTCACTCTTTTCTTGCTCATTCATTGTCCACGATGGAAGGAAGGTTCGCTTGAAAGATCTCGTTCCATACTTTCTTTCTTTCTTCCTTTCTTTCTTTCTTTCTTTCTTTCTTTCTTTCTTTTTTTCTACCTTGCTTCTTTCGGATCGATCAAGCTTGGTCGCGTTGTTATCGAGCACGCTTCCAGTCTCGTTCCAGTTTGATGGTCGATCGTTTAATAACGATCTATCGAACGACCTGTTAATATTTTTACTCCATTGGGCCCCTTGGCATACTGGCCATAGCTTCTACTTACTTACTTACTTATATATTATAGTTGCTTCCTTGCTTGCTTACCTTCGTCCAAACGGTTTCTTATTGTTCGAGCTAATTAGAAACGACACGCGAAGACCAAGCCATTCATTTGTCATGTCGGGAATTACCAAAACCCCGTCGTTGTCCTTCTTTTCCTCATCTCTTTCTTCTCTTATTTAATTTTCTTTTTTTTTTATAATTTAATACATTTCTTTAGATTATTTTTTTTGCTTTCGGTGTTTTGTAAAATTAATTATTGCTACGTGTTTGATTATTTTCTTTAACATAATTACATGATTTTGTTGATTAGCATTTTGTTAAATAAATTCTTAATATATTTGAATATTGTTTCTCTTCATTATAAATAATAATTTTTCTCTGTGCTAATTATTAGAGAGATATTTTATTATAAATATTCGTTAAAAATATTACCATTATTTCTCGATCATATAATTGTTTTGTCTTTTTTTCAGAGGGAGGAGAGAATTATTATTACGATCAGTGCTAATCATAAGACAAAGAAAGTAAATTACTTTATTTATTAGTTGGTTAGTTTTTAATGGAAACGTAATTACAATGTCAGCTTTGTTTTAATTCGTTTGGCGAAGGTACCATTCATTTTTTACAAAGTCATTTTAACCGACGACAAGAACGTAGGCCGAAAAAGAGTAGTCCGAATGATAGTGATGATGCATCCTGATCCAAGAACAAAACGTCCGTACGTCCGTTAAAAACTCGATCCTCTTTGCGTGTTTGAAAGACGATGCTTGTGCTTGGGTGTTACGTGTAGGGCATTTCAAAATTCGAACCGATCTGTCGATGATCTCACAGGGGAAATAAATTTGCGACATTTTAACCAACGTGTTGGCCCGTAAGGGACGTTCAAAGTTTTTCGCGAGAATAATGCGTGCTCTCGTCCGAAAAAATTGACGAGGTTCAACGTGCTGAG